TAAGCTATTTTACTACCTATGGCTCACAGAACTCTGACAGCAGGAAAACCCCAAATAGACTTAAAATAAAAACTTACAAAACATATGAAGAAGCAAACTACCATGGTGGAGAGTCAGCAATGCAACAAATAAAAGAATCTTTACTCCAAGAACTAGAAATAATAGAGATTCAGAAAGACTGTAAAATAAATATGTTTAATATGATATGTGTACTGAAGGAGAAGAACTCATAAAGCAAGAACATGGTAGTGTGAAAAAATAAAAAGCAGAATAGAAAAAAATGAAAAATATATTCATTAAAATTAAAAAACTCCATGAGTGAGTTAAAGATCAGATTAGACAGAGATGAAGAGAATAATTTCACTGGAAGACAGACCTGAAGAAATGACCAGAATATATCTGGAGTGGTTACAGGCAATCTGGAAGGAGACAAGAAAGAAAGGGATGACAAGCAATATTTGAAAAGATAATAGCTGATAGCCCGTTGCCATTGAGCTAATTCTGACTCATAGCAACCCTATAGAACAGAATAGAACTGCCCCACAGAGTTTCCAAGGAGCAGCTGGTGGATTTGAACTGCTGACCTCTTGGTTAGCAGCCAAGCTCTTAATCACTGTGCCACCAGGGCTCCCAATGATAATTTTCCAAACCTGAAGAAAGACCTGAGTGTTCAGGTTACAGAATCATGCAGAGGGACAATAGAGGGGAAAAAACTAAAGACAAGGAAGAGGGAAGAAGAAAAAAAACAAGCAAATAATAAATGGAAAATACAAAATAATAAGTAAAACATCTATATTTATAATAAGTGTAAAAATATTAAAAATGCATATTAAAAGACAATATTAGATTGGATTTAAAAAAATCCACTCATACATTGCTTATAAGTTATCTATAGAAACAAAAACACGGACAGAGGTTGAAAATGGAAGGAAAATGATTTCTCAAGTAAATAGTATCCAAAAGAATCCTAATATAGCAACAAATAATAGTAAGAAGAAACTATTTGTTACTC